ATTAGTTTAGTTTAAATTAGTGAAACAGCAAATATTCGATATTTTATCCAACTTTGCGATTCATAAGAATTTTACAAACTAATTAAAAAAATTCAATAATGAATCTATATTTAGGGTTGTGTTACGAAAAAGTTTAGCCTGTATTATTGCATAGCGATACGTAGAATACATAAAAAGTTACGATTCCGGGCCTGAACCTAATTTTTTCCTTTCTTGGCTTGTATCACGTAGAATATTCTCGAATCTCTTTCAAAAAAGTATTATTTTTAAAGACAATACCAGAAAGACCTAGAAATTAAAAGCGGATCAAAATTTATATTGAGATAATTTTCGTTGTCGTTTCTTTTAATCCGAAAAATTTTGTAAAATGAGTAATTGGAAGAACCCAAATAATTGGTATTTTTATAGTTATTTTTAAAACATTTAATGTTAATAATAATAATAATTTCTCTTTTGCTCATTTTAAAAACTTTTTTTAAACTAGGCATTGGTAAGTAAAAGTATGAGGGGCTAGTATATTATAGTGCAACTTTTATCGACATTAAATTTGTTGATTAGGACCACTAAGAACTGTTTGAAATGGGCCAAAGGATATTTAAAAGAACAATTAATTGGTCTTACCGCTGAACATGAGGGCATCACGGTCAAAACTGTGGATGTAACCGAATGTTCCGGAGACGCAGATTTGAATCAAAGAAAGGGAAAATTAATTCCATTCATTGATTTAGTAATAGAGTTAACTTGGTCTGGTGAGTTAAACAGTCTAATTTTTATATAATTTGTAATATCGATATCTGATATTTTTACGAATTTAAAAAATTAGGTACGGTACCAGATGGTACCGAAGTTACAGGAAAAATCCGTATTCCTGAACTTCAAGGTACAGAAGGGAATTGTGAGGTGAGCGAGGAATTAAAAATAAATATATTTGGAATATATCATTAGCATACTAAATATATTTAATTAGCATACTAAATATATTTAATAGTTTCAAGTCAGTGTTGACGATGAAACTACTGTTAAAGAACCCATAAAAAAAGTAGTCCAAGACCATCTGACTCCTTTGATAAGGGAAAAGTTTAAAAATTTTGGCAAAGATATGTTAGAAAGTATGTGATTAGAAAGTTTAACGCTTCCATTAAAGTGTTGATTAATTTTAAATTGATTAACCATATATTTATTTTTTTATTTTTTTTTTTTAAATAGCTCATAGTAAAGATGTTTATATTGAACCATCTCAGCTAGGAACATCCACTCCGCCACGATCTGCAACTCCAATTGAGTCCG